AGAGAGAGAGAGAGAGAGAGAGAGAGGAGAGAGAGAGAAGAGAGAAGAGAGAGAATGAGAATGAGAATGAATGAGAAGAAGAAAGAGACAGACCAACAGAGACACACACAGCCGCACTGGGAGCCATCACCTGCGTGCGCCCCTGTTTGCATCGCTGAGCCTGCATTGCACACACATTGGATGGGAAGGTGGCCAGCTGCTGGAGGAAGGGCAGACTCAGATCCACTTTACAGACCCATCAGTCACTGCCACTTGCTTTTTAAAAATTTTATTTACATTCCTCTTTTAAAAACTAAACTTTTTATTTTGAGATAGTCATAGATTCACATGCAGTTGTAAGAAATAATAGATCCTGTGTACTCTTTACCCAGTTTCCCCAATGGTAACATCTTGCAAAACTATAGTACAGTGTCATAGCCTGGATATTGACATTACTTCCTCAAGACAGAGAACGGTTCCATCACCACAAGGGCCCCTCTGTTGACTTTTGTAAGTACACGCTCCCCACCCCATTCCCTAACTCTTAGCAATCTGTTCTCCTTTAATGTATCTTTTGAAGTTTAAAAAATCTTCAGGGCATGGGGTTTAAGATGAGGTAAAGTCAGGAAATTTAGCGAAGGGCCTGTGTTCTCCCAAGTGCTCTTGTTCCCAGATATGGCAGGAAGTTATTTTCACATGCTGGGAAGAAGCATAACCATTCCAGATTCAAGTGGAGGTTTCCTACGTTTGAAGTGCTGCTGAGACTGTAATTATAAATGAGGATGAGTTAATATGTGATAAAATACCATACGCCATCTGTCTCATCATCGGAGGCAATTCTCTGCCAGCTTGGTGAATGAGGCAACAGCTGTCCAGAAGTTGATTGCTCAAGGAATGTGCTTAACAACTGGTACTATGAATTCAGCCCTTTGTGTGAGAATTTTAAGAAATCGAGTTCCTGGTATTTAGTCAATATGTGCAGTTTTACGTACAATTATATAAAGGTTTGTGATGTGGAGGAGTTCTCCTTTTTTTTATTTTCACCTATCTCTGCCTTCCTATCTTAGTTTTGTTATTACAGAAAATGAAAATCCCATAGGAAAGCCTCGTCCCTAGTCCCTGACTACTGGCCTTCCACCACAACACTCTCCCCCCCACCCCCACCCCCCTACGTTCTGTACCTGGGCCTATTAAACAAGGTTCAGTGATGTAGCTTCAAGGGAAGCTCAGTGTTGCATTGGATGACCTCAAAGGTTTCATCCAATCTTGAGTCAGTGATGCTGCATCAGTGAGCTCGTGTAGCTACTCAAATGTGATAGATGAGCATTCAGCATTCACAGTAAGGAGATGCTCCTGGGCTGGCCGCAGAGACCAGGCAACAGAACTTTTTTCATGGCTATGGATTATACATCTAAGTGTGTGTGGCGGAGGGGTGGGTTGAACAGTTGGCCCTGGCACATACCATTTTTGCAATTTAAATTACTGAAATGGGTGTGAGCTCTCCAGTATACCACAGATCACACCACTTCCTGTTTATTGTTTTATAACTGGCCTGTTGAGCTCATTTGTACTTTCTCTGCCACTCCTGGAAACATTTGCACTGTGACCTCTGATTTAACTAATCCCCAAAATCTTGGACATTTAGGTGGCCTTCAGCCTTTTAATATTAAACATTGTTTTAATGACCATCTTTGCATGATCTGAATTAATTCCTACAAGTAAAATGCATGGGTTAAGCTTTACAAGTTTGTAATTGTGATATGTATTATTAGATTTCCCTATTGTTTTTGCTGTTTGAATTGCCAGTTTGTGTGACTTATCTAAATTAAGGGAATTCTTATTTTCCTTATAGATTGACACTATATATGGTGTCTTAACTGTTCAGATATTTTAAATTTTTATGTACTTTGATTTTGCAGTTTTTTCTTTGTGGTTTATGGAAATTGATGCCATGTTTAGAAGATTTTTCCCATCCCACAATTATAAAAATATTAAACTTTTGTTTTAGAATGTGTTTTTTTTTTCTCTCTCCAATATTTATTCTGCCTGGAATTTGTCTTGGTGTAAAGAGTAAGGTAGTGCCTGGCTGGCATGGCTCAGTGGTTGAGCGTCAGCCCATGAACCTGGAGGTTGCGGTTCGATTCCTGGTCAGGGCACATGCCCAAGTTGCAGGCTTGGAGGCAGCAAATCATCTTTCTCAACATTGATGTTTCTGTTTCTCTCTCCCTCTCCCTTCCTCTCTCTAAAATTAATAAAAACATTTTTTAAAATCTTCATGATCATAATTTGGAATTGAAAAAGGAACAAACCCAAAACCAATAGAAATAATTTAATATAAAAAATTATAAGGTAGTGATCCAACTTCATATTTTTCTAAACAGTTAGCCAATTTTCCTAAAAACCAACAATTTTTAATATGCATGGTGAATTTAGAATTACCAAATCTTGATGGCTTCTAGTATCTAAAAGTGGCTTGTTTTTATAGAAAGTTTCCACTTTAAATTCTGAGTTTCAGTATTTTTCTGCTTTTAATACCTCTAGAAAGGAGCTGTGAACAGAACACCATATTGGTTTTGGCATTAACTTTAATGCATCTCAAATAGGCTGATTCTACAGAATTTGATCCAAAGTACTTCTGTGTCTTAATGCCTTTTTGCCAAGCAAAATTGATTATTTCTAACCAAAGGCCTTCAGTGCTGGACTGAAAAAAGAGTGAGGGGTCCTCCTAGGCTGTGGCAGATTGTGTAATTTGGCATCAGGTACAATGCTTTTTATTTTTTCTCTTAAAAGTTTCTTTCTATTCTCTAGCCTTCAGTGGTCACTGCCTCCTGTTGTTGGGGACTTTTAGAGGTGTGGCAGGGAGAAGGCAAATTCAGAAACTTTCTGTCCAAGTCCTAGTATTGTAGCTCTAAAATATTTTCTTTTTTTCTTGGCAGTTTAATGAACAGCTAAGAGAAGTCTTTCTTTGACAGTTATTCCTAGCCTTCTCTGTATTGTAGAATTTAGCCGATATATTTTTCACCTGTAGTGCTGTGTGATCACAGAGATCCTCTCTATAACTTTAATTAGAGATGCTTTTAGTTCTCCTAATTTAAAAATTTACCTGAGTAGCTTAGTACCTTGGCAGATTCCTCTTGTCATATTCTCCTAAATTATTATAGTGTCATTTCAACTAGATTTTATTATTGAGACTTGTTTTTAGGTCAAGTTTGTAGACAAGAAGGCAGATTCTACCATTGTCGTTGAGAAGAGATATACATAATGGTTAAAACCACCAGAGTCATTCTGTTGGGGTTCATAACCCATCTTCTCCACCTATATGTCACTTGGCTAGTCCTCAGTTTCCTTACCTATCAAATATGGATAAAAGTCACATCTGTCTCATAGGACTGTTGTAAATGTCAAGTGAGATAATGCACGTAAAACACTTAGGACAGTGCCTGGCCTGCAGTAAGCATTTAATAAGTGTTATTTTTCGTCCTCTTGTTAGTGTTGATTTGCTCTTCTAGGATGTTGCAATGCTGGTTTCCCCTCTTAATTGTAAAAAGAATACATGCCCATTGTAGAAAGTTTAGAAATCAAAGAAAGCTTAGAGAAGAACATTTCTCCTACAGTTCCACCACCCCCAGCAATAATCGCAGTTTACATTTTAACATATTTGCTTCCAGTGTTTTATACTTATATATTATTGTACATGTATATCTTGTAATATATTTAGATATTACCATTTGAGATCATTCTACATGTGTAATATGGTGTCTTGACTTTTTCACTTAACATGTCCTAAACATTTTGTCATGTCATTAAAAACATTATATAATCATTTAGTTTTCATGGTTACATAATAATAATCCATCACATTATATTATTTTGATTGACTTAGTCATTCTCCTTTTATTTGGCAATTAGTGTTTGGAACTTTTTGGGTTGGTGTTAGGTTGCTTTTAGATCATTCTAACTTACTAGGCCAGGCTTTTTTAGGAGTTGAGCCTTGTGTTTGCTTTTGAGGTTGGTTTTTTTGTGTTGACTGTGTGACTTAAGCTGGGATTTTAAATGTCTGACCCTATATTCTCAGACTTTTGCCTTCTGTTCTGGACTATCTCCATGCTTGTTTGCTTTTCAATCTTTCTTTGGTGAGTTTCTTTTCATAATCCTGTGCTGGAAGAAAGATGAATGGAGACCAGGATTAGTATTTTGGTCTCTGACCCTGCAGTGCCACGTGAATGCCCAGGAACTAGCCAGAGTAAACAGCAGTTGCATGTTAATGGATCTTTACTGAGGTAACCATGCCGAGAAGTTTCTAGTGAGAAGACTGTCCTAAATTGTTCTTGACAAGGTATACTATTTTTGTTTAAAATTTCTTGCTTTTCCTGTAAAGCTGGGTTTCAAGTATGTTAAAGCTGAATTCATTTGTACTTGGGATATAATGAGATCTTGTGCTTTTTACTTTCAGAAAACCAGCCAAGAACAGCAGTCTGAAAAAGACATACGTATCCAAAATTGCCAGGGAAACCTGCTGTTTACATATGCTTTCTGAGAAACCGCATGGCAAGTGAATGTCGTCTTTGTCTGAACTCATAGCAGCCTGGCTCTGCTGGTGGATCATGCTAGCTGGTTTGGGCTTGGTTTTTAACTCAGTTATTGAAATGGCACTTAGAGCAAGACTTAAATGCCAGTGGTTTGTGACCCAGGAGGTTGCTTACAATGGCATCAGTCTGTGTGAGCTTGACACTGTTTTTCATTTCCTTTGTTTGGTTCTGGAACTGCTTGGCAGCTGTCTTCTTTAAAGTTCACTCTTCATGGCCAATTATTGTCTGCTGTTAAAATACAGGATGATTTTATCTTAGCCACATGGTGAACCAAAGAGCTAAATCCAGACATTGGGTTTTGTGAATTTGGGCAGAGAGAGTATGACTAGTGATAAGAAATCATTTAGATCTACATGGCTTAGAACAGAAGATCAGATATGGATCCTAAGATCTGCAGATAGTATCTTGGCACCTTGGGCCCTAGGAAGTGCTGTCCTGAGGTCATATTCATGTGGCTTCACTGGAAGCACAGGTGCCAAATGGCGTATATCTTACATTCCTAGAAGCCATCGTCTTGCTCAATAAGCTGTTCCAACACTATCATTCAGAGAAATAGGAGCTTCCAGCTTCTCTTACATCTCCAACAAGAGCTGTCATCCAGTGTTTTCCTGACCACTTCTGGTCATTTCTGAGAAGAAGGTTGGATTCCACAAGTTGGGATGTAATCCATATCACTGTTTAAAGGTTCTGCCTGAAAATACTGTGTTTTTTTAATTTCAGCCAAAATTTTCCCCAGGGAACTTATACTCATGTGTTTGGTTGTTTCTCACAGAAGCTCTGCAGAAAGTTGGCATCATCTGCCTTTTCCATTTTACAGATAGAAAGAGCCAGTCTTTGGCCTTTAGCCAGTACTTAGTATTATGGTAACTTGGCTTGAGTAAACCTTGCCAGCCTTATGCTAGCTCTTTGTTACAGAGGCCAGATTATATAAGTGTGAAAGCACCTGACCAACTGTAGATGTTAGGTGATGTTTCATTAAAAGTACCAACTAGTCAGAGCCAGATTCAGTTTTTAGCCTTTTATTTTTATATTATTATTATTGTTATTGTTATTATTAAAATCCTCACCCGAGGATATGTGTGTGTTTTTTATTAATTTAGAGAGAGAGAGAGAGGAGGGGAGACAGTGAGAGCGAAACATCCATCGGTTGCCTCCTGTATGTGCCCCTACCAGGGATCAAACTCATAACCTAGGTATGTGCTCTGACCGAGGATCAAACCCACAACCATTTGTACACTGGACGGCGCTTCAATCCATGGAGCCACTTGGCCAGGGCCAGATTCAGTTTTGATCTCTGCCACTTGATAACCTCAGGCAGATTAATTCTGTAAACCTAAAATGTTTCATCTATCCATCTCTAGAATCAAGTTAATAATTATAGCTGTAAGATTTAATGAAGAGCAAATGAGATAATACAAGAAAGCGCTTAACATAGTGACTGGCTAATAATGGTTAATAAGTGATTTTAAATGTGGGCTTATTGTTATTATGTAATCATTATACAGTGGACTTTTAAATCCTGCTCCCTGTGCACTACCTTTCTTTATGTCTTCTTGATTTACTGAGAAGACCAATGTTAGCATTATAAGAAAACAAGGTGGGCATACAAACAATGTTTCTGCCCCCTGGAGATTTCCCCTTCTTTCTCAGGAGGAAGTTTTGGGAGTGAGCTAAATCATCTGTCACGTTGCCAGAACTGGGAATTGGGAGTTAACTAGTCCTTCTATCCTGCTTACAGGAGAAGCCCTTCTTTCTGCTCAGTAATGTCATGGCTGTCTCTATTTTCCAAGATTATTTCCTGCTCTGTGGCTCTGTCATTTAAGGACACATTTTAACATTGCATCTCATCCTGCTTTGTCCTTTGGCCCAGAATTCTTAGTTTTATTCCAGATAAATCTAGGGGTCCCCCCAGAAATCTTGATTTCATCTAAGTTTTAAAAACTTTTGGCATAAAATTTTGGATTTTAAAATTTGTAATATCTGTAATTCTAGCTTGCCTTTCATTCCTAATATATTTTTTTCTTGATCAAATTT